TTGGAAGCACTGTCTGACGCGTCTGCCTCCGGGACCCGAAAGGAGAAGCGGTGATGGAAGATGAAGATGAAGTAACGATAAACAAATTTTGATTGCGCTCCTCGTATTCCTTGGTGCATTTCTATTTGAATGATAAAAAAACTTTGGCGGAAGTGCATTCCTCTATGATCTGTATGAATCTTCGAGATCGTTCGATCTAAGGCAAGCAAAGTTTGAGCAGCAACGTTTTCCAGATTATTGCTGACAATGAAATGGTCCTACTTGGTCATATGAATATAACCTGTTTGTCCCTGAAGAAATCATGCAAAACGTCATACTGCCTGGCTTTTGTAGAAAAGAAGCAGTCGTTTCATAAATGTCATGCGTTACAATCATAAAACAGACTTAAAGTTGCCAACTTTCAGATTTCTCCTCATTCATAATCAAAACCCCCTTTCTCACAATCACCAGTATCTCACCTATCTTTTAGACGTCAGCTCTCTCCTCTACAATTCACGTCTCGTTCTTTCCAATCATATTATCGTTCGCACTAATTTGTGCATGTAGGTTTATTCATAATCTTCCTCTTTATTACACCCTCTAGCTCTACTCTAATCGATTCGTTACATGTTGCTCTGCTGCAGCATTCCTCGTTCATTTCTCTGCTCTAAACACATTTCCATAATTCGGTTAAGTTTCCTTTGCTGTCCATTCTCCTTAGATGTCATTGATCGGCCGATCGAACTTTACACTGATTGCACCTGTACATTAAGTGGTGCAAAATCACTCGAAATCTGCTGCAAAATCAACTCTTTTTCAGATTCAGATTGAAATGTCGCTGTAGTATATGAATCGGTTACTTATTACCAATGTCCCAAAATGAAATACAAATTACAAGTTGTTGAAAAACTATATTTGAAACGCACGAACCAGTTAGACATAATATTTCACCCACAGGAGCATGTGATGCCGTAAGCAAATGTGCAACATAGCCATTTCCTAGAATAGCCCAGGAGAAACTCGCTTTTCACGAAATCCTTAATGAGGCTAAGTTTCTGGCCAAACCTTTCTTAATAGACAAGACAAAAAAGGACAAGTATCACGTGGGGGTATGGGAGCGTTGATGAGGCAAATATATCATCGGCATCCGCAACCTTCCACCACCATGTCCGGATAGCTTTTGATGACTATGCGATTATTCACATCCAGATAAAGCATGCTGACGGACGACATGTCCGTTGGGACACAGCGCGGCTTTGGAACAACGCCCGGATCGACGGAATTGATCAGTGATTGGACGATTGCGTGGTTGGTAGTGTTCTGGCCGTCGATCAGCGGATAAGAGCACCAGCCGGCGCAGAAGTAGGCGTTGTACCCAGACGGCGCGACTATCCAATCTTGCCAGTTCAACTCTTCGAATCTGATGGATAGCGAATGCTTTTGGCACATTTTCATCCGGGTATTCTTCTTGCCTTGGTGGTGGTGCCGCTGGCTTTTCCGACCAGTGGCCGCCGCTCCTCTGTGGCGATGTGACCTCC